ACCCAGATTCCTCCCAAGGTCATACCGTCCTAATTTCTTCTGACATCTCAAACCTCTGCAGCTCAGTTGTCAAACATTCCCAGTTTCCAAGTGTCTTCTACCTGGAAATCAGATGGCATCTTAAGCGTTAACCGGCCCATTCGTTAAACTCTTTTTAAAAAGGGAGGGGAGGCACACTTGTATTTTCAGATATAATCAAGGTCATTTCCCTTTGTTCACAAAACTTTCCACACTGCAGATGAAAGAATGTCATTACTGTCTGGAAATCATGTTCTCATACTACTTCCCTGCAAATACGTAAAAGACATGGTGCAAATCCCATTGCTCATAAATTACATGGGCCGCAAACTGAACCTTCCAAAGCCCATGAGTGCCCATTATACAGTTACCTCGTGGAACTAGCCACAGCATTTTTCAGTGTTTTCAGTCTGAAAGTAGCGATGGTGATGATGATTTTCATAACGCAGATGAAATTGGTTCTTCACTGGAGGAATTACTAATCCGGTTAGAATCTGATCTGAGATACAGTTAGGATTTCCAAAGCTAAGCAAGGACAGACTGAATGAATATTTGGATAGGAGACCTCCAAGGAATACCTAAGTGCAAAAGGAAATGACATTGGTGACTAAATAGGGGGCACTCTTGCTTCTGAGTCAGTTCTGAACAAATACTCCAGCAGAGTGCTGAGAGTGCCATCTGTTGGGTGAGGTGTGAAACTGACCCCTTGCCTTCATTAAAGACCGCAAAGGATGGTTTGAAGAGTAGAGGTGTTACCCACAATGTCATGCCCAGACTTCCAGCTGAGTGATTCTGACCACCTAAATTCTCCCTGTAGTTTCAGTTAGATAATTTTTTTCTTCCTATGTAGTTCTAAATTGTCATGTAGATTTGCTGTGTGCTGTTAATAAGTGTCACCCCGGAAGTGGCTGTATTTCAGTGAGTGAACTCTGTAGTTCAATAAAATGGACAGTGCAAGGAGTATTTCCTCATCAAATGATGAATACTTTGGCACTGTTTCCTGTTGAAGGGGCGTGCTGCGTGGTACCCCACAGAAATACGTCAGACATAAGGCAACTGAATTTGTGATGAGGTTGAGTGTGCCTCCTAAGAGGTGTGAATTCTCTCACTGCTGTTGAGACTCAGGAGAATTGAGGGTTTGCACCATAGGACGCTCTCCATTCACCAGCAATACAGCACCAACTTCAGCCCACGCTGAACTAGAAAACATTTATATTTTATCACCCATCTCTTAAATCCAGCTAATAGATAGGCAAGTTGTTTAGATGCCTGTGTAGAGAAAAGGGATATGAAATAGCTACCAATCCAGGCATGAAAGAAATCCTTAAAGGGTCAGGATCGAATAAGCATAGAAAGACATCTTATATTTGGCTTTACTCTTTTAATTCTTTCAGTTCCAGGGAATTCCTTCTGCGAGCACAAGTACAAAAGGCATTTTGGAAAGAAGTTAGGAGCAAAGTAGAGATGGCTTGAAATCCTTTCAGGGTTTTTGGTGTTGAGGGTTTTTTTTTTTAAGATGAGAAACCTAAGTGATTCCAACTGACATTGCCTAGCACTAAAATACTGCTCAATTTCAATTGACAATACATCATCTCTCTTCGCTGCATTTGGCCTGACAAATGATAAATGCAAAGCTACCTTTTTTTCATGCTGAACAGCATTCCCTCAACCCCAGCCCTACTGGACAATCTGACTATGCGGCTGCAACCCTTGGATTCTACCTTGGTGCAGAGTTCTGCATGAACCAGCAGAAGGAGCTCCAGGATCAAGACTTGTGTAACTGTTTCCCTGTGCCTAGGGACAAGCAGCGTGACTGCTATGCCTGGAAATCTTTCCTTATCTATCCATTCTTCCCCTTTGCATTTTGAATTCTGTCCACAGAGGCAGCCTGAGATTGCAGCATTCTTCACTGGAAAGGGGCTTTGCTCATTTTTTCCGGTTAAATTGCAATGGAGTTATGGCTTTGCATATAAAAAGAATCCTTAAAGAGACGATTTAGCACAGCTACTTGAAGCCCTGATGAGGGAGGAAACCTGCTCCGTTCAGATACAAATATATTAACCCTTCATTCATTCTGAGAACTAGTCTTGTTCTGAGGTTCTGAAGACGTTCTGGTAAGTGGGATTTTTCTCCCACATCCAGTGGTTCACCGTGCCCAAAAATACACCGATGCCTGAAGAAAGGCCATTCTTGTGGCGTTTTTATTTGCTATTGGAGGTGACATGTTGAAAACCTCACAAGAAAAGCTACTCTCGTGGGATTGCTGAATTTACTCTGCAGAGCACAAATACTCATATTTGCATGCACACAAATGCAAGGGCAAAATAGCACATGCCTCATGTCTGTAGCTGTAGTTATTGCTTGCACAAGTTAGACATACAGTTTTGACAGTTTAGCCCCTCTTTGCTTTCACCTGGTGCCCAGGGGAGCTGGAGCCAATTTGCCCCCTCCTTCTATGCAGATTAGCTCAGCCTCAGGACTTCTCTAATTTAGGTAAGCTGTCATGGTCATGGATCGCTGGAACACAGCATGATTTGGCCACATTCCTTCTTTCCCCGTCACACTTCATCTTCTGCCACTACGTGGAGTGAGCCACCAGGGATTATTATAGAGCTGGCTATGCCGGTTCGATACCAGGTGGGGATTTCCCCATGCCACAGGCATCTTCAGATGCTGAGCTAGAGTGTAGATGCCTGAGCAGTCTAATTGGAGGATGGAGGTATCCTGCTGTCTCTTATGATATCCTAGAGCCAAACCATTTAAGATTTGGCCCTGGCCCCCTCTCTGTAATGATGGGGCATCAAGCACTCAGTGGAACTGGCATTCTACTGTGCAAGCATCCTACTCACGATTCACATATTTTGAGGTAGGAAAAATAAACTTGTAAACACATGAGATTAGCAAATCTGATCAAGCATCCAAGAGCCTACCAAAGAGGTGTAGAAACCAAACAGATTTTGTTTTCAGCTTGACTTGGAACACATAACTGTGATGAGGTTGGTTAGGGTTACTAAGTCATGAATCATGCAGCAACATGCTAAAAATGAAACATGAAACAACATGCTAAATGAAACAACATGCTAAAATGAAAAAGGATGACTGTACTTCCTGGATTGGATAGAAAGCAATATGAGTAGTAGTATTTGTTATCAGATAAAACAAATGGTCGTTTAATTTCTTTGGAGAAATCAGTGCCATTTCCATATTCCTCGTCTCGAAGCACAATTCGAAGAAATCCAGGAAATGTTTCCATTCAGTCTGAAATCTTGTTGGTTTTTAACCAGCCTTGATTGGTATTTACAATAACAAAGGGGAGTAAATTACTTTTTTTCCCTCTCCAGACGTATTAAACTCTTAGCTTGTTATAATGGAAGGACCTATATAATGATGCACCAAGATTAAATGGTTGGCAGCTTAGCTTCACATAATAATGCAGTGCATTTTGTGAGAGTTTAATTCTTTGCCTGTAATTGCTTTGAACATATATCGCACCTCCCATCCCCGGATCCCAAAGCACTGGCACATGAAAGTGTGTGTTTGTGTGCTGATAGGGATTGCTGACAACATGCAGAGAATCTAATCTCTCTTATGCCAATCACTGTGGTATCTAGGTGCTAATTGTAATATTTTGCCTTCTCTAGCACCTCCCACCTGCGGATCTCAAACCGTTTTACAAACATTAATTAATTTAGCTTCATAATCCTCATATGAGGAAGGTGGGTATTGTCCTCATTTTTCAGACGGGGAAACTGATCACAATAGGTTGGCCCACCACTCCTGCAGTATAACCCAGGAGAGCAGGAGATCTCCATAATGTTCCCCCCACATTCTTTTATCGGGGGACTGCCCTACCCACAGAATGAGTAGCAGGTTCTGCAGGCAACAGAGGGGATCCACAGAAGGCCAGAACTTTCTGCATTTGCTTCAAAGCTCTGATGTTCCCTCTGCTCTCCCCTGCTTCCTGGCAGTGTAGCTTCCACTTTATCACACTGCCCAGGCACCTTGCTTAAGAAGGGAATTACCCTTCATGGACGGTCTCAGCAAGAAGGAAGTATAACCAGTGGCCATATTACCTTTCCCTGGTAATCTCCACAGGCATAGTGATGGTTGCTCCCTCAGCCCCACCATCATCAGTTCAGGGCTACCCATCCTCTACCTCCCCTACACCCACCCATGTGGATCCCAGTTCCAGAGAGCATCCTCTACAGGGTTCTGTGTCTTAAAGACAGTGGACCCCTCACCCCTTCTGCATCAGAGGAGGCCCTATCTGGCCCAGAGAGATTGTAATTTGCTCAAGGTCACATAGAAATTATGTGACAGAGCCAGTAATAGAGACCAGGACTTCAGACTCACTCTATTATATCTCAGCCACAAGACCATCCTTTCTTTGGAATACCTCGCCTTGGAGATAGGGCTGGGGAGTTAGCAGTCAGTGACTCTTGTGAGATTCCCAGTACTTGCTGGTTTAGAAGCTGAAACCAGGCTGGTGAATTTAAAACAAGCCATTAGGGAAAAGTCCTACAGGACTTAGTAGAGGAAGCAATGCCTTCTGTCTTTTGAAACCAACAAATGGAATTCTATAGAAGAGATACAGTTCTTTGCAATGTAACAATTCTATAGACAAGACTTGGCCTTTTCAATAATAGAGTGATTTCTAGATAACCGTGGCTAATGGTTCTATAGAGCTCTCTTGGCTTAAATTATATAGGACTTTTCCATAAGAGAAAAGCAAAACTTCACCAAAACAAAAGTAATTGATCTTTCTCAAATCTCCAACTAGCTTGCTAGTTTAGGTTGCATTTGGAGTGAGGGTTTAAGTTAATTGCTAATTTCATCCCTAGAATTGCCTTCTGCTGCTCATGTCCCCATTGTTTGGGGCCTTGGTTTTTAAAGCTATAGCAAGTAATATCATGAGTACGTTTTTTGACCCAACTGAACTCTGACTGACCTCTTTCTTTTTCCCTTCCCCACCATCAATGCAGGTGTCAGCTACTCCAGGTCGGTTCCTCCAGCCTATCCACCACCCCAGGATCCATTAAATCAGGGACAATACATGGTGACAGATGGCATATCCCAGTCCCAGGTCTTCGAGTTCACCGAACCCAAACGCAGCCAGTCACCATTCTGGCAAAATTTCAGCAGGTTAACGCCATTCAAAAAATAATACCTAGAGTGAGATGGAGAATTTTAAAATAAAATTTTAAAACTTAAAATAAAATAAATAAATAAAATTATATTTATAGATGGACCTTTTTTCGGAGAAGCACTGTTGCAATTAAAAATAATTCTATATATATACACACACATATATATATATATATATATCTATATATAGATATAGATATAGAAGGACCAAAAACTTTTTTTTGTTGTTTTTGGGAAGCAAACTACTACTAGATACTAGGAAGCACCAATGACTTCTACTCATGTGCCCGATTTTATTTTATTTAATTGGTCAGACAACATCATTTTTTCTGTTCATTTTTTTTTTTGTCCAACTTGTCATTGTCTCTCCAGGACAATTTCTTGCTCGTTGTCTGTTTGTCACTGAAGTTCCTTGCAGGCCACATTGGTGTATATTTTATTTTATTTATGCCTTTTATTTTTCTATTTTAGAGGTGGGGAAGATCTCTGCTCCCTTCCCCCTTTGCCCCCCCACCCCTTGACTGTCCCCAGACTTCTTTTTTCAATGAACAGCATTTTCCCCCCAGCATTCTCTGTTCTGAGTCGTTCCAGTCTGGGTGTGCTCTGTTGTGCACTGTGATATGCTGCTCAGTACTTCTATTGCTTAACTGTTTTTATAGGTGTTCTTGGGCCAGGGAGGGGGGTATAATCAAACAAAAGGGGGGAACAAATCTTTATTATGTGAGAGATGACTTCTGTTCAATTGATTTGTTGCATTTTTAAACTGTGTTTCATTTCAATGCTGTGTGTTTCAATCACACATGCCATTCCCAGTAATGTCGAAAGAGAACAATGGGGGCTTTTTTGTTTTGTATCTTATTTTATTTTCTCTGGAGATTTTTTTTAGCTGAGAAATTACCCTGTGAGATGTCCAATACTAGCTTTTTCCTACATAAAGATGACAGATGTTTTAAAATTGGTTGATGGCCTCATGTCCTGCATTCTAGGTAGAGAAAAATTAGTTATTGAACACAAACAAAATGGCCAGTTTTCTTTCTGCAGGAAATAACTCAGAGGACCCTCCTCTCTCTCACACACACACACGTAGCATCACTGTTATGAACCATTGATTACAGTTTACAGGAGCAATGATCCTAGATGTAACAGCCATTGCTGTACTTGCTTTCTGGTCTGTTACGTTTTATTTAAGTATCCCTAGCTTTGCCTTGAGCCCCAAATTACCAAACAGGACATTCGCTAACAATGATGACCTATTAGGTTAAGGATTATTGCTTAAGTAATCAAAAACATTTACTCAACATTTAATGCCTCCAACCTGTGGAAGAGGTTGAAAATTGCCTTTCAGAAAAGATAGCACTGAAATCAGTGTCTGAGAAGTCTTGCCATGTGACCAGGACTACATATCCAAATGTAGATCAGCAATCAGACTAGTCTAAACTGTAGCAATGGTTCAGCAAACTTGCACCATTGTCAATAGGCTGCACAGTAATTAGTTAACCTCTCTGTGTCTCTTTCTCTCTCTTTTTCTCCCTCTGTATTCAGAGCTGCATTTTCAATGACACCTCCTACAATTTCACCCTCAGATTTTAACCCTCAAACACACTAGTTTGCCTGTACGGAAGCCTGCAATTCGGCTCACAAAACAGATCATTGCACTCACAAATGCCTTTTTGCTTGGGCAAATGTGGACATTTTGCTCACATAAAAAGGTGAAAATTGTGCAGGTGCTGTTCTGTAGGCTCCTTTAAAACATGGGGCGAAATGATCCAAACTCTAATTTGTATTGACTCTTTTCTTTTGAATCTTATCTGTCATCAAAGCAAATCAAGCTAGCTACCGGTACAGAGAAATGCATAGGGGGGGAGCACAGATTTAATTTTTCACCTGAAAAACAAGAACCTGTGAAGACCACCAGTGAATGATTTCAATATTTCCATGCAGCTTATTCTCTTGTAGGGCTAGAGCAAGCACTAAGATAAAGGCACCATGCCATGTTGTAAGGGAGTGACCATATTTCCCATCTAAAGCACAAAGATTATCTCAGCACTTTCTTTGCTACTTGAGAAAATATAAATAAGCAGCAAAGAAAGTCTAGTATTTTAAAGAGAGGAAGGCTCACCCCCCCCCCCCATATGTAAATGATATACAGTAGT